GTTTTATGAACCGTTTGTGCCATTCTTTTATTTATCTTTTAAATCATAATGTAATGAACTTAACTTAAAATAATGAACTCATTTTAAAAGAAAAATGAAACTCCCAAAATTGAGTTAAATCAATTTAGTTACAAGTTACTTAAATACATATAAACATAAGCTAGGTCTTTTTACCCTTACGCTGTTGTTGTTAGGTGCCGTTGAGTCAGTTCTGACTCACAGTGACCTGTGAACAACAGAACCAAACACTGCCTGGTCCTGTGCCATCCCCACAATCTTTGCTGCGCTTGAGCCCTTATTGCGGCCATTGTGTCATGTCAGTCCATCTTGTTAAGTGTCTTCCTCATTTTTGGTGACTTGCTACTTTACCAAGCATGGTATCATTCTCCAGGAACTGGTCCCTCCTGTTAACATGACCACAGTGTGAGAGACAAGGCTCACCATCCTCACTTCCAAGGAGCTCTCTGGATGTACTTCTTCCAGACAGATTTGTTCATTCTCTGGCAGTCCATGGTTAAGTTAACATTCTTTGCCAAAATCGTAATGCAAAGGTATCAATTCTTTGGCCTTCATTATCCATTGTCCAGTTTTCGTGTGCATGTAAAGCAATTAAAAATACTGTGGCTTTGGATCAAGCACTCCTCAGTCCTACAAGTGACATCCTTACTTTTAACACTTCACAAAGGTCTTTTGCAACAGATTTGCCCAATGTAATACATCTGATGTCTTAATAGCTACTTCCGTGGGCACTGATTGTGGGTCCAGGTAAAATGAAATCCCTGACAGCTTCAGTCTTTTTTCCATTTATTATGATGTCTATCTAGTTATGAGAATTTTGGTTTTATGTTGAGGTATAATCCATATTGAAGACTGTAGTCTGTGATGTTTATTATCACGAGTCCTTATTCAAGTCCTTTTTGCTTTTGGCAAACAAGGTTGTATCATCTGCATACTGTACATTGTTATTGAGTCTGACTCCTATCCTGATGCCGCAGTCTTCATAATTCTTTGTAATTAAGAAATTTACAGATTAATTATCAAAAAAGTAAGCGAATAAAATAAAGACTAAAAATAATATGACGAATTATACTTAAACTAAATAACATTTCAAATGCATAGTAGGGTTCTTTTGAGTTCTTTATTCTTAAACTTTTTTGTGCTGTCTTCTATTGATCTTTTCCCATTCTCTAAAACTAGTAAAAGAAATGTTCCTTAGTACCAGTGAAATTGTGATAGCAAACATTGACGTAAATTTCAAATGATGTCGAATATGTTTATATGTATAATGTTTTAGACTTTGAAATGAAAACTGTTGTTAGGTGCTGTTGAGTCAGTTTGGACTCATAGCGACCCTCTACGTGCAATAGAACAAAACACTGCCTGGCCCTGTGCCAGCCTCACAATTGTTGCTAGAACAAAACACTGGCCCTGTGCCAGCCTCACAGTTATTGCTATGCTTGAGCCCATTGTTGCAGCCACTGTGTCATTACTTACAGAATCCCTAAGATGTATTACTAGATTGAATCTTAATAAGCAATCACTATAACAGCCCAGGTACTTTCATCATCGATGTTACTCATGGTACCTGGATTTTGTCTTTATCTTTTAGACCTGGTGAGCTCCTACTCATCTTCCAAAGTTTGGTGCTAATGTAGCCTCTCTGAGATATTGGCAAGCTTCAAATACTGTAACAACTACCATCTTTCCTGTCTCTTTCTTAGTGTTTCCATGGTGTTTAGCACATATGTGTTTTAATATTTGTTACAGATTTTCTTGCTTAGATTTGGGTTACCCTGATTGAAAACAACATAGTGCCCTGGCACCTAATAGGTTCTCACTACTTATTTGTCGGATAAAATGAATGAATGACCATGAGCTCAATAATACAAGCATTTTCAGAGTGCCTGGTTCATAAAAGGAATTTTGATAAATAGTTATTGGTGAATAAAAAGCAAAGAAAAAAATTATTTTCAAGTTGTCCAACAAAAATAAGTGGGCTGAAGAAAGTGAATTATATTTTATTAGGTGAGATGTCTGAATTATTTTCATTTTTACTTGATTAATGTGTTTTGTGTTAAACTTCTTGGGCAATAATTTCCCTTAAATGACTAATTTCAATGGCATATAATTAAAGTATAGATCTCCTTTTACCCTTTTTGCTTTTCTCAGAAAACAAAATTAGACCAACATGTAAAATCGTTCTTAAAAAAAACAACTCTCAATTACGTGTTGGATGTATGGTAAGTTCTTGTTTTAAATATTGTCTGTATTTCTCCAACTGAATTGGCACGTAGCTTTTATTTCTGACTTTCAGTAAGAAAACTGAGGAGTGTGGATTTAAAACTCAGATCCAGGATTGTTTGATGGCTGCAGATTCTCGGGTGCTTTTTCCCATGCTTCTGAGTAGAGAGAAAAGCATGCCTACTTTCAATACTTATTTGCCCGAAACCTATCACACTGCAGTGATGGAAACTAACACAAAAAGGAAGACTGGCATTTTTATTGCCCTCTCAAATTCTTTTCCAGAAGTAGACAGTGAAGTAACAAGTGGGGTTAAAGTACTATATTATAGTAAGAGATTTCAGATTCTAACTTGGTGGATGGAAGGATGAACTTTATGATTGGCTTCAATCTGAACTTCTGGAAACTGTGGAAAATTGTGTCTGTGTGTTATACTTTGATCATGGGTGGATGGAGAAGAGAGAAGTAGAATATCCACAGCTTTCATGAAGGATTCCAGTGGGGTTCACGGGCCCTTTAAATCACTGCTCTAATTGTATTTATGAATATAGAGATTCTTTTCCTAAAGGGATGGGACAGATGCATTTCTCTGAAAATGCAAATTTGCTTCCTAAATGGGTTCAATATGTTGACATGTGACGATTGCACATAAAATTTGATAGAAGTGGATGGCCTGGGCTTAGTATGATGAACTAGCAGATAAGAGAGCACAAGTGAAAATCTGCAAGAGTTTTGAGGGAGTAAGGGATGGGGTAAAGTGAATGTTAGAAAGAAGGTGGCAGGTGCAGTAGTGTTCATTGATAGGAAGTTATTTGGCCAGGATGAACTGAGGAGAGGAACGTTAAGGTTGACTTCCTTTTAATGGCTTCTGGTAAAACACAATACAGAATAGATAAGAATCAGCACTGTCAGTGAATTAGGTCTACTTAGGCTATAGCTCAACTGTCTGTTTATTGATCTAACCTATGACTATGGGCATTATCTTATACTGGAGCCAACTATTTCCCATGTATGTCATATAAGACATAAACACATCTTTGCTGTTTTACATATCACTGCCATTTTCTAAATAGCCAGAATTTGTTATGACACGAAACATTTTTCTGTATACCATGTATATATAGGTAACATCATAAATGGCTCTTACGTGTATGTCTCTGGGAGTATTAAATCATTGATACTCTAGCTTTGCTAGCTGTATAGCAGTTGAGTGGCAGCAGCAGCTCAGCCTGCTGAGTCAGAGAAAAAGATAAAAGAATAACTTCCATTCTTTCAGGCAGTGTTTATTGAAGGGTCATTGTCTTCTCAGCACCAGGGATAGATCAGTGAATGAGGCAAACAGTTCATACTCTCATGGGGTATCCTTTCTCTCAAAGCCCATGATTCCCCCTCCTTCCCTAACTAGGAGTTCCTGGGTGGCACAATCGAGTAAGCACTCAACTACCAGCTGGAAGGTAGGTGGTTCAAGCCCATCCAGAAGTGCATTTGAAGACAGCCCTGGGGATCTGCATGCTGAAGGTCACAGCCTTGAAAACCCAATGGAGTAGTTCTACTGTGCACACGGGAGGTCACCATGAGTCAGAATCAACTGAACAGCAGCAAACAGCAGTCCCTCAACAGGAATGGTGTTTGTTGCTTACTCTAACTTGCTGTACCAAAATACGTATGCACAAGATATGCCCCTTGTAAACTCATGATTAGGTCTTTAACTTCTCCATCCGTTGCTAGAACTGATACTGATACAAATAAGGTAAGCCACAAATAACATGTAAAGGCACCACTAGATGCCATCTTTGGCAAATAAGTTTAGACTCGTTTATACTTTCATCTTGATTTTCTTCTCATGTGTCTTACAGGGACTTACAGTGAACTTTATTAGAATGAAGCTACCTTTTTTAGTCTTTGGGTTCTTTTTGAAACATGGCAAGAGTGAACTGTAGTGACAATTTTTGGAGTGTTTGGGGTAAAGAGAAGGAAGTATATTGGTATTGTAGTTAAGATCCCTGGACCTCAGGCTGAGAAAGGGAAGCAGACATGGATTGTTTTGCTTTTGGATGGAAAGGTAGTGGAGAGTTGGAGGAACTTTGGATCTGGTAAATAGATTAAATTATGCAGGGTACTGGTAGATAAGGAGGAAGTTCATACCTTGGGCAGTTTCATCAGAAATTATGGGAGCTATAAAAAAGGATATTGTAACATGAATTATGAAAATTATTCAGTGCCATATTTGATCTGTTCTCTTTACAGAAGAGTTTGGGAAGTACTGTGATGATGTTGTAAATACAGCTGCATGGGGAGGTCAGCTTGAGGTAAGCTTGTAATTATAAATAGTGATTGTGGACTTTAAATGATTTCTAAATCCCATCTGTAGTTTTCAGGCATATTTTCCAAATGATCCAATTTCTCTGATGAATCCTTGTTTTTTAAAAAATATATTTGCTATTTATCTACTGAAAAAGCTTTGAAATAGGGAGTTAACATACTTAGGCCTTTGAATAAAGTATGTACTTTGGGAGAGTGAAGGACTATTTCGTTTTAAGTGTCAGTAGTAGATCTGTGTGTTGCCTAGTCTGGTTTGCATCTGCATAAGTGTTTCCATTTCTGACGCTGCTATTGGAGTTAGATTTGATTTTCAAGACCTGTGAAAGTGAAGATTTTAATCATGTGCAGCAAAATTTGTTCCAAAACCAAATCCACTGCCATCAAGTCAATTCTGACTCATGATGGCCCTTTAGGACAGAGCAGAACTGCTCCATAGGGTTCCCATGCTGTCAGTCTTTACAGAAACAAACTGCCTCATCTCTCTCCATGGAGCAGCTGGTGGGTTTGAACAGCTGACCTTTTTCTTAGCAGCCTACTTCTTTTAACTTCTGCACACCAGAGTTCCTTATCCTGTGGTTCAGTTAATATTACTACTGGAAAATTTACTTCTCCGTTACATCAGAAATAAAAGACAATATTTTTATGTGAAAATACAGGTCACATCTTACCCCTACACATCTATTAAAATTGTGTTTTCGATTCCTACTTTATAGTGACTTATTATTTTTAATGTTGATACATTGAAATTCAAATGGAAGAAAACAGTATGTTCAGTCACTTGTAGGAGCATAGAATTTCTCTTTAGCTGTATTTATTTTCATCTTTCTTTTATGAAAACCAAATAAACACAACACCTAAGCAGTCCAAGTGGTGATGAGGCGGCCAGGAGTTTAGAAAGACAGTAAGAGGGAGGGCGAGTCCCAGGTCCACGTCCTGGTTTTCATTTCCACTTCTCAAGTTTTGTGAACTTGGGGGAGTTAGGCCACCTCCTCATTATTGAGTGGGGGCAGTAGAACCTGTGTGTACTGTGTAGGACATTTGTGAATATTAAATAAGGCAGGGAGTACATTCATAGACGTTTGTGAGCTAAAGTGCCTGATGGATGAATCTATCATGATTATTATTATTAATGGTATTGTATAATGATGATTGGTCATGTTGAATAGTTTTTGACTCTAAATATTTCAAGGGCTACATTTTTTGAAGCTGCAACATGAATGCTTCCTTAAAAATCATCTTCTCAGCAGTGCTGTATTTGTACCTCTTCTGAGCCACCAGGGGGAACTGTGTCCATTAGTTTTGTATATCTGTCCCGGGTGTTTCAAACTCAGAAAGTTTTCATAGTAGCCTTATGAGACAGACTACATTAGGGGTAAAGATGCTTGAACTTTCTTATAAGGATCCTAAGTTTGTATGAATATTAGACACTTAAGCTATTTTCTTTTTTAATTAAGAGAAGTTTTTTAAACATCTTTTAAAAGACATTTACTCATAAATTGCTCATTTGTGAATTCAACTGAAGTAGGAGTTGTTTTCACAATTATTTACTTATTAAAGTGAAGATCTTCCTATAATTTCTGAAGACTTAGAAGGGATATTAAGATTCTCAGAGCTTGCTTAACAGCTTACATACCATGGTGACTTTTAAAAAATGTTACTTGAGGTCTAAGAAAAAAATAGGAATTTGAACCAGTTCAAAACAGTTCAGGCATGGCTGAGGACAACAAGGGCAGTATACGTGTTACATAGCAATCAAGTCTCTTGGGCTGTAGATTTTGACCCAAGTAGGTAACAGGCAATGGTGCTTCACTCAAAATGGTGCCATCAGTTGTCATCTTTGAGTGGGACACCACTGCCTGTTCCCTGTTGTTGTTGTTGTTAGGTGCTGTTGAGTCAGCTATAAATCATAGTGACCCCATGTACAACAGAACAAAACAGTCTGGTCCTGTGCCAGCCTCACAATCCTTGGTATACCTGGGCCCATTGCTGCAGCCACTATGTCAATCCATCTCATTGAGGGCCTTCCCCTTTTTTGTTGACCCTCCATTTTACTGAGCATGATGTCCTTCTCCAGGGAATGGTCCCTTCTGACAACATGACCAAAGTAGGTGAGACGAAGTCTGGCCATTCTCGCTTCTAAGGAGCATTTTGTTCCTTCTTTTTCCACGGCAAATTTGTTAGTTCTTTTGGCAGTCCATGGTACTTTCAGCATTCTTCTCCAACACCACAACTCAAAAGCATCAACTCTTCTTTGGTCTTCCTTATACTTGTCCAGCTCTCACATGCATATGAGGTGATTGAAAATACCATGGCTTGGGTTAGGCACACCTTAGTCTTTAAGGAGACATCTTTGCTCTTTGGCACTTGAAAGAGGTTTTTTGCAGCAGATTTGCCCAATGCAGTACATTATCTGATATCCTGACTGCTGCTTCCATTGGTGTTGATTGTGGAACCAAGTAATATGAAATTTTTGACAGCTTCAGTCCTTTCTCCATTTATCGTAATACTACTTACAGGCACAATTGTGAGGATTTTCATTTTCTTTGTGGGGAGATGTAATCCATACTACAGACTGTAGTTTTTGATCTTCATCAGTAAGTACTTCAAGTCATCCTCACTTTCAGCAAGCAAAGTTGTGTCATCTGCATATCGCACGTTATTAATGAGTATTCCTCCAATTCTGATGCTGCATTCTTCTTCATGTAGTCCAGCTTCTTGTATTATTTGCTCAGCATACAGATTGAATAAGTATGAAAGGATACAACCCTGACACACTCCTTTCCTGATTTTAAACCATGCAGTATCCCCCTTGTTCTGTTCGAATGACAGCCTCTTGGTCTATGTACAGGTTCCGGATCAGCACAGTCAAGTGTTCTGGAATTCCCATTCTTCTCAATGTTATCCATAATTTGTTATGATACACACAATCGAATGCTTTTGCATAGTCAATAAAACACAAGTAAACATCTTTCTGGTGTTCTTTGCTTTCAGCCAAGATCCATCTTACGTCAGCAATGATAACCCTCATTCCATGTCCTCTTCCAAATCCAGCCTTGCATTTCTGGAAGTACTCTGTCAGTATACTGCTGCAACCATTTTTTGAATTTAGCTCTATGTATTTTCATCTTTCTTTTATTAAAAGATACTAATGATATTGTTCTATAATTTCCACATTCTGTGGGATCACCTTTCTTTGGAATGGGTAGAAATATCCAGGTAGCTGTCTTCCAAATGTCTTGACATAGAAGAGTGAGTGCCTCTAGGAAAGTATCCATTTAATGAAACATCTCAATGGGTATTCCATCAATTCCTGGAGCCTTGTTCTTAGCCAATTCCTTCAGTGCAGTGTCTTCCTTCAATACCATTGGTTCTTGATCATATGCCACCTCCTGAGATGGATGAGCTCTGGTAGCATAGTGCCTAAGGCACTTGACTGCTAACCACCAGACTGGCGGTTCAAACCCACCAGCCACTCCTCGGAAGGAAGATGGGGCAATCTACTTCTGTAGTGATACTGCCTCGGAAACCCAAGGAGAGGTTGCTATGAGTCGGGTCCGACTTGACAGTACATAACAACAACAACAGCAATGCAATGGATGAACATTGACCAATTCTTTTTGGTACAATGACTCTGTACTCCTTCCATCTTCTTTTGATGCTTCCTGAATCATTCAATATTTTGCCCATAGAATCTTTCAATATTACAACTTGAGGCTTAAATTTTTTCCTCATTTCTTTCAGATTGAGAAATGCCAAATGTGTTCTTCCCTTTTGGTTTTCTAACTCCAAGTCTTGCACATTTCATTATAATAATTGACTTTGTCTTCTCGAACTCCTCTTTGAAATTCTGTTCAGCTCTTTTATCTTGTCATTTCTTCCATTTGCTTTAGCTACTCTTCGTACGAGGGCAAGTCTCAGAGTCTCTTCTGACATCCATTTTGGTCTTTTTTTCCTTTCCATTCTTGTTAGTGACCTTTTGCTTTCTTCATGGATGTTGTTCTTGATGTTATCCTACAATTCCTCTGGTTTTTGCTCATTGGTGTTCAGTGTATCAAATCTATTCTTTAGATGGTCTCCAAATTCAGGAGGGATATAATCAAGATCATTTTTTGGCTCTCATGGACTTCTTTTAATTGTCTTCAACTTCAACTTGAACATGCATATGAGCAATTGATGGTCTGTTCTACAGTCAGCTCCTGGCCTTGTTTTGGCTGAAGATACTGAGCTTTTCCATTGCCTCTTTCTACAGATGTGGTCGATCTGATTCCTGTGTATGCCATCTGATGAAGTCCATGTGTGTAGCCGCCATTTATGTTGTTGAAAAATGGTATTTGGCATGACTAAGTCATTGGTCAAAATTGGAAGTGCAGGAGATTTGGTTTCTGTATATTGTGTGTGCTGCCCTTGTTTCCACCACCCGTGACTGAATGGTTTCGAACCAATTTGAAACACTGTGAAAAAGTCTTTTTATTTTTCTCTTCTCTAGTATTTCTTCTCCAAAGGAACATTTTGTGAGAAATGGTAATGAAATTAAACTTGCTGTCCATGTACTATGGAACTCTTTCTATATTCCTGATGTAATTTCTTACATTCTTTTAAGACTTCAAAAGAACCATGGTCTAGAAAAAATGTTCTTGGAATGGGACACATACATAGATCAGGACATTGTGATTGAAGACTGCTAACTATTAATTTGGTTATGCATTTGGGCTCTAGAGTCAGATTTCCTCAATTCAGGTGTAGGTCATTTTATGTGCTAGTACTTGGCTTTGGGCAGGCCTCAACTACTTCTCTGCCTCAGAGTCTACGTATTTGAAATGATCGTGGCAGTAGTACTTAGTCCATAGAGTTGATGTGAGAATTGAATGAATTCATAGGGCTTAGAGTGCTTTTTCATAGTAAGTTTAAACCATGTTATTAGCAATATACATTATTAACCATTATTAGGATTTAAGTTCTAATTTTATATTGTATAAATTACTTGAAATCATGTTAACCAGATGGAAATTTCTTGAGAGTATAGTATAATTCGTATACAGACCTATTTTGTTAACGTGTGGAAAATTTTCGAGCAGTGTTTCTCAACCTTGACTGTACATAAGGATTGTCTATAAAGCATTTTTTTTTAAAACAAACAAGCACCCTCCTGTTGTAAACATCCCTTCCCCTCCAAATTACAGTTTATTTGATGTGGTGCTTGATTAATGATATTTTAAAAAACTTTATTATGGAAAATTTCGAGCATATTCAAAAGTAGAGACTAATAAAATAAATGGAATCTACCACCATCCCACTTCATTAATAATGCATTAATGTTTTTGAAAGCTGTTGTGAGGCTGGGGCTTGAGAATCCTCTACATTTGATCTAATAAACATTTTATTTATTTGTTTATCCAACAAATACTTCATAAATGCCCACTATGTGATGGGCTTTTGCTGTTCACTGATGAACAGATCATACTAGTCGCCCTATTCCTGCGTTCTTTGTGATCGAATAAGATACACATTTTTGTTTTCTTTACTAATATGTTTTTCTTCTTCCTAAAGCTAAGAGCACTGTCTCACATTTTACAAACACCAATAGAAGTAATACAGGCGGATTCTCCTCCTATTGTAGTTGGTGAAGAATATCCAAAACACCCATTAATGCTTGTGTAAGTACCTGGAAATTTTTACTGTTTTATTTTTCATAATTAATGCAAAAGGAATAGGAAAAGAATATATGCTGATTAATCAAAGAAACTGTCAAATGAATTAATTATGCTTATTTTTTTAATTAAAGGTGATTATAGAACTGGAAAGTATTGTCAGAATATGCTGTCTGTATCACTGTTTGAAGGTCTACTGCTTTATTCTTATATAAGTAAAGAATATATTCATTTCTAAAAATTATGGAGTGCCAGGACTCATGTATATTGTCCTGGTTTGACATTAGTAATTCTAAAAGTTTCAACAGGTGTAAAAGTCGAAATGTATTGATGTTGCTTGATTCTTTATTCACCTTAAAGATTTTTTCTTCATATTGTGAAAATATTTTATATGATGGAAAACTCTTAAAATACAGTATGAAAGGCTTGCTGTCTGCTTTAGTGTTTATTAGTTAAACCCAAGAAGGTATTCATTAATGGCTTGGATTTAGGTAAAAATGTAGGCTTATTGAGCATTTAGCATCTCAGCCTTTGCTCTTTCCCTGCAGTGATTGTGTTTTACCTGTTTTAAACTCAGCAGACAGGGTTATTGCATCAGCTGTTGTGAACTGCTGATACTTTTCAAATGATGTAGATCTTTTAAGTAATATCTTGATGTAATCTATTGACTGATACTCCTGTGGAGTGATTCATTCAGAGTGCTTGGTTTTATACACATAGTAAACATTTGCATTTATATACCATGTAAACGTTTATGTACAATGAGTTACTTTCACCACAACTATTCATTTCTCCTTTTTTTTTTTTTTATTTCAGATATATGAAACATGCGTATGGCTTAGGAGAACATTACAATTCTGTTACACAGTTGATGAACACAGCTACTGAAAATCCCAGCTAGTTTACAGAATGTCACACAATTACGTTTTAGAACAGTTTTGTCAATCATATCATTCATCCCAAGTTCTGGATTGTTCTAAATGTTACTGAAAAACACAACCACCTTAAATGAGTTTTATGAAAAAGCTTCTCAAAACGTTTTTCAGAGATATGCCAGAGATAAACCAGTATCCCGGTGGTGGTGGTATTTTAAAAGCTGTAAAATCCATTGTGGTGAACATTCATGGACCATGGTAGTACCTTATTCATTGATATTTTCATTGATAAACGACATTGGACATTCTGTTCTTTGTTGGAATAAGTTTTAATTTGTTTTCCCATGTTATGAAAAGCTTTCAGTAACTATTTCAGTGTACTTTTCTTGAAACAGTGAATTGACTCAGTCTTTGTCATTGCAGTAATGTCAGCATGGTGATAGCAAATTTAACTAAAGCTTGCAAGTGAACTTGATTACAGTAATGTTGGTACTGATGGAACTAATGCCATAAAACATTTTATTTAACTTTATCAAGGTGCGGCTTAAGAAGCTTGTTTTAATAATTTTTAAAGATTTATTCAGATGGGAATCTGTTGTTGAGTTTAAAGAAATAAGACAAGTTCAGAGGCAACTGAGTATTCTCCATCAGAGCTAAATCTGTAAAGAATTAGAGATTAGCTTTTTATTTGTATAGAATTTTAAAAAAAGAAAAACCAGCAGATAACTGTATCTTTCTAATGTGTGATTTATTCCTTGTTTCTTAAACTTCAGGCTGCAATTAGTACCATCATCTCTTAATTATTTTCACAACTACACATTGTTATAGTCTCTGTGTTTTCCTGTCACTACTCAGCTGGTTTGCTTTCCTTACAGCCTTTTCCACTAAAACAGTTGGGCCTCCTATTCTCTACCTTGTACAAGTTAAGGGTATAGCAGTGTTAAAGGGTCCAAGGTCAGTCACATTCACTTCAAATTCTTGTTTTCAAATTTACCTTATAAATTCTCATCCTTTGTGCTTCATTCTCTAGGATTAAAAGGAAACCTTTGTTACTTGTTATTTTGTTAGACTTATAAATATTGCCTTCCCTTTAACACAAATATTTGAGAATTTTTATGATGCATGTATGGATTAAGTTGAATGCCACTATCAGGGAGTCAAGATTTGAATAGTAAAATCAGTATGCAGTAGTTTTAGGAAATGAACGGTTTATGGGCCCCCACTTTCAGATTACTCATGACAGTATTCTCTCTATGAAGATAGCACGCATATATTTAAATGTGTCTAGTTATTTGTTATGTAAGGGAATGCTGTCTGAAAGTAAGCCCTTTTTGGTTTGATCCGTTTTTTCCAAATTAGAAATCTAATAAGATTTACCAGCAAATTCATAATTTTTTTTTTCTTCTGTAAGTGCAGCTACTTTTTGTAAGTAAAAGTAAATGTGCTTACAATATTTAAAGTAGGGTGTCACTCTTACATGGTCTGCAGGTAACAAATGGGGGACTCTCTAGAGACTGGTAAACTAGTGCAAGTAAGGCTTACTTTAAGGCGTCCTGATTCAAGTTAAAAAGCATTCTACCTGCCAAATACAATATTCTGAAGGTTGCTTGTTTTGTAGTCCTTGATTTGAATGTTTTTGGGGTCTGAAATTTATAAAAGAATGAAATGGTAAAATAATGCCTTCACTTCCTTTAGAAGTGACTGTTATTTTAAATTAAAATATAAGCGTTAGGACTGTAGAATGGAAAACAAATTCACTCTGTAAACTTTTGCGCAAATTAAAAAAATATATATATATGTATGTATATATATAAGCATTAGGAAGTATAAAAATAAGATAATATAAAACCTAGTACTTTGAATCCCATCTTCATCTAAAGTATTCTAAAATAACTTATTGGTAGCTTTTTTTTTTTTTTAAAAAGCTGAGTAGAATTTTCTTGATTATAAATTTATTTTTTATATTTTTAAAAAGTTTAAATGGCCAATATGGTTTTAAACAAGGTTTGTATGCCTGGCTACTGTGTTTTCATAAAACTTTAGATAAACATTTTAGCTGTAGCCTAAACTTGAAGTCTTTACAAATGGCATTTGTGAATTTAAAAGCAGCATATGCTGATTTTGTTGTATGATGATTGTCTAATGGAAGTTTCATAAGCTTTCATTTGTCCTTCCTCAGAGAAGTATATGTCCAAGTTCTGCAATATGACCTTAGCCAAGAATTTTATCCACTTTACTATGTTTACAACTTGTACACAGCAAAAAAAAAGTATATAGTAATAGTGAGCAATATAATTTTGCTCACATTATCTGATGTTTGCCAAAAAATAAAAGATGGTTGAATTAAATCAACATGTTTGTTCAAATTGTCTTTCTTTAATTATTATAGAATTTAGAAAACTTACTTTGCTTCAGACTTTTACCTAGTCTTTCTTTTGTCCTGACATATAACTGAAAATAATACTACAATCACAAACTCTTGGATTTAAGGGCTTTAGAATAAATATAAGAACATAGCATTATGCCGAGTCAGAACAGAGGGAGTTAGTAAAATAATATCTGTTTAAGCCATGGCTCTTATATACCAGGTAGATACTTTAGAACCTTTTAGAATAATGAAGATTTATTTAGAGAAAATGAATTGGAGAATATTCTAAGACTCATGGGTGTTAAGAAATGAAACATTTGTGTGCAAAAATGTGAAACTGTAAGAAAGGAATTTGTGCAGATGAATGTTATACAGTTGTTAATACATCATCCTTTTGGTATAGATTGTCATGAATTAGCTAAAAAGCAGATCACCTGGTTTTCTGAAGATTTAATTGGGAATTTCATACTGTTTAATACTTTCACTAAACAAATGAGAGTGTTTTTCTCCCTCTCCCTTACCCTTTTCATGCATTGATTTGTCTCACTTAAGTCTTGTTTAAAATAATCTTTCTTACTTTGCAGACTAAGAGAAAAAAACCCTCATGGGGTTTCTAATTCTTTTTTAAAAGTAAGTTTTAGGGAGCATCGATTCTTGTCCATTAACCCACCATTGTTTTTATCTATATCGGGACCTTTGAACTACCCTACTTGGTAGTTGGTTTGAAATACTTTATCTAGCCTGTTTCACCTAGCTTACTTATCTTTTGGAGTCAGCCTAAATAGTACCTACGAGGCAAACTTCCCTTGACCCCTCCCACCCTGGGTTAGGTTGGTATTCCAGTTAATACATTTTTTTGCAGTAACTACCCATTTGTGATTATTTATATTTAGTTGTTTATTATATATTTTTCTAGTTTTTAAATGCCCAGAAGCAAGAACTATTTGTTGACTATGCACTGTCATAATATTAGCACAGTACTTGGCTTATATTAAGTGGTTAATGCATGTTTGTTGGCAGTCTTAAGATACCAGTTGAGACAATAGGATATGACTGAGGAGTTGCCATTAGGCTATTGTATCCTTGGGAACAGAGAGACCTGGAGTTGTGCTTGCTCACAAAAGGCCCACTTTCCAGTTACTTTCTCTATGAATGAATTCTTCAGGTCTTTGTCAGTTGAAGGGAGGAGCTAAGTCCAAGAAAGCATCATTCTTTTTCTTAATTCCTAATAGAATGTTACAATTAATTTACCCTTATATGCCAGTTAGAACACTCAGACTTACTTTAATGAATCTAAAATAGAAGAATCCTCTCAAAGAAATTTACAGATTAGGAAAGTATTAAAACCTTTAATATACTGACCAGGAGGATGTTTATAGTTGTATTACTTTAGTATACAGTAAGTGCCTGGGTTACAAACGTCTGACTTACGTCTGACTTACTTGCCGTGTAATGTCACATAAGTTTGCTCTCACTTGGAAAGGATTGAACCATCTCCTACCCACAACAAATGCCTCATCACAGTCACTTACGTTTACTGCGTGTGCAGCTTTTAAATCATCGAGGAGACTTCAGGCCTCTTCTTGCACTAAAGTGAGGCTAAATAAGAACTGTGTTTACCTGTTTCAGACTTAGCTACAAATTCGACTTAAAGATAGAATGGATCTCATTTGTAACCTGGAAAGAGACTGCCTATAATCAGGGTGACTAATATGCCTGACTGAAACAAATTACTACCTTTCTACAAGGCTGCTGAATTTGTCAGTTCTCTGAACAAAGATGACATTTAATCTATCCTGCTATTTCTTTTCCATATCACCCTTATCTTGACAAAAGTAAAGTGCTATGTATGTTATTTCAGCCAATACAATGTCAGCATGGCAATTACACAGAAAATTTAAATGCTGGAGTTTGATAAGCAAAAATAATGACCTCATTTTAAAAAATAAATGACTGTTTTTGCATTGGGCGTTCTTTTTTTTCCTTTGTTTTCTGAAATTAGAAAGGCTTTCTGTACCTACATCAGGAACTCCCAAGAGTGTCACTATTAATATTTTTAGCTGGTTAATTCTTTGTTGACAGGGGACTGGCCTTTGCATTGTAAGATGTTTAGTAGCGTTCCTTATTGTCCTTACTAAAGGCCAGAAGTACCCCTCTTTTGAGTTGCAACAGCAAAAAATGTCTTCAGACATTGCTAAATTTCTCCTTAGGGACAAAACTGCCCCCAGTTGAGAATTACTTGAGAACTTGGAAAGTTCAATGGAAACCTTTTAGAGTAGAAATTGGACATAGGTAGGGTGTTTCATCTGCCTTTCATGACAACTGTCCTAATGCTAGTCTTTACAGTAAAGTCCCTTTGAAAGTCAGTGAACCTTAACACTCCCTTTTTTTCTTCTTTCTCCATGTTGTGTCTGTCTCTATTGGAATGTGTTTGACTTAACTGGTGGTAGTAGTCACTATAGACCAAAGGTTATGCTATGGTAACAAACAAAAATCTTGGTGTCTCCCATCAAAAGATGCTTGTATATGCTATATTTCTCTTGCAAGTTGATTGGGGGATCTGCTCTGTGTCTCTCTACTCTGGGACTGACACTGTTGGACTTTTCTTTCACCATCTTAAATTTTGCTAGGAGACAGCAATCTGGAGAGTGTCATTCTAGCAAATAGATACTGTGGTTCGGAAAAGACACATCTCATTTCAGTTCACCAACTGGAATCGGTCACATGGTCTCTCATAGTCACCCAAATAGGAAAGTGCCTAGAGTGCAGTCCTATCATGTGTCCTGATGGCAGAAAGTTAGAATATTTGGCAAATGTCATTA